ATGATATCACTCCACCGCAATGGACTAGAAAGATCAAATCTTACTCCTGTTTTATCATCGTAGTTATGACAGCTCCACGAGGTATGCGGATGAGGAGCAGACACCCACCAGCCCCACCATCGACGTAGAGCCAAAACCGGCGGAGATTATTTTGGGCTCACCAGTTCGCTTTTTAGTTCGTATGAGCGGTCATCCCACTCCCGAAATTGAGTGGTTCATTGATGGACAAAGTGTACACCAGGTGGGTTATACTGCTTGCGTTCACTGTTGTCCAAAAGCCAGTGCTTCACTGTTAAAATCTGTCTCTTAATTTTACACAGGATTCGTTGATTAAAGTGCTGAGCGATGGGGGTATCAGTGTGCTAGAGATAAACAAGATAGAAATCAGTCTTGGTCAGCATGAAATTCGAGTTCGCGGTGTCAACAGTCAAGGCACAGTGGAGGCAAACACGGAAATGATAGTACATCCGGCCGACTACAAACTGCCTGATCTAAAGCACGTGATGCCTGAGAATCCCTTTAGGCGACAAGCTCAATTGAAGCACGTGCAGCGCACTGAAGAGCTAAGCAAGGCCTTTTCTAAAGCCAAACCCAAGCCTGAACAGATTATACATATGGAACAAACTTCGGAGTTACGCGCCAAAACCTTCCGCTCGCCTGAGGTCGTCGCTGCTGAGGAACTCCTGAGCAAAGTTACTACTGGTCTTCGCAAGTCCAATAGGGTAAGTTATGACTTGGAACTTATTCGTCGCATATTTATTATATATGTTCAATATATACTACCTCGAGTAATTTCTTTACAATTCGGTTGATTATTGTTTCTACACTAAACTTTTAACGCCGTAACACCATGGCTGTTCGTCAATGTTCTGCAATGATTGGTAACCTATTGGTGATATTTTGTCGCTAGGACATGGCATTGTTTAGCAAAAAAATCAAGTATATACTATTGATCTGCTTGCTGTTGAATAAGAAAGTTTTCTTACTTTAGATAAACCAACCACTGGAGTGAATTGGAGGACAATGGAATTATTCTGAATTCGTTTTCGGCCCAACGGTCTTGTTGACCATTTCTCTCATTTCCTATCCTTTAACAACACACCTCAGTCCAACAAAAAATTATCTTATATCTTTTACTGTTGCATGGTGTGCCGTTTACCGATCATTAGCTTTATCTTCTCCATGGTCTCGTTTTCCCAATTAAAATAACACGCCCATTCGGCTGGGGACTCAACTTCTGTGGTTCAGTGGAACTTGTCACACTTTCCCCATTTTGCTGCTGTTTTCGAAGTTTCTCAAAACAATATTTTTCTGCTTAATGCTTCAGACTGTTGCGAAACATGGAACTGAGTTCAGATTCTAGTGAATAAATGGCAAATGTGGTTATTCCGGGCAACTGATTACAATTAAAAATGGAACTCTAATGATTGTTGAGGAAACTGATGTATGGCTGGACAAACAAACACCGTCATAACACAAGGGTATTATGCAAAGGCTATTTGCATTGCAAAAAATTCTTTTATGCTTAACTGCTGTACAGAGACAGGGCCTTAAAGTTGAAGGATTAA